AAGTAAGCTTTCGTCTTTCTTACGCAGATTTGACTTCCAGCTTGTTATTGATGGAAAACAAGAGGAACATCTTCCATACCAGAAAATTGATCCAAATGATGGTGTAGCACTCATTACAATTACCAGATCTTTCCACACTTACGAAGTTAAAACTTACGATGGAATTCACCTTACTTGTAATGGTATAAGAAACTTCTGCCGATTAGTCCTACCTGGTTTTATGCATGGCAAAAGCGCAGGTTTACTTGGATCAAATGATAATGAACCATCAAATGACTATGACTTGATTTCTGGTGAACCAAATTCTAATGTAAGCACCTTTTTGCTATTGAAAAATGTATAAACTTGAAACAGGGAGACTTTAAAAACTGAAAAGGTCATTTATTTTTAGGTAAATGTGATGCAAGAACACTGGGCCATAAATGGATTATGTAGGAAGAACGTGGTTCATGCTGAAAGTGAAAAAGACGAGGAATGTGATCACTTGTTTAACAATTCTGATTCTCCACTGTCAGGTTGTTTCTCGCAAGTAAGTAGCTACTTGTTCTATTAGCTGATATGTTCATCTGGATGAATTTTGTTTTTCAAACTGTAATAAACCACCGTTTGATTTGTTTTTTTTAATTCAAATATACGTATTTAAATATACGTCTTCATAAACGGTTCAGGTTCGTCCTTTACCATTCGAAAAATTGTGCTTAGCTAGAAAAAATCTGCCAACTGTTGCTGCTGTGTATCGCCAAGCCTGCGAAGTTGCTGGCGTCGAAATCGAAGTTCCAGCTTCATACGGTTTCTTTTATCCTTGTCCTTGTTTGCCGAAGAACCAGTTTTTTTGCTGCTTAAGTTGTCTAGACTTAAACTGCTTGAAGAGGCATTAATCTTTAAAGAGTAATATTGGATTTTGGCAAACATTTTTATTGGCCATTAATGTCAAAATGTTTGTTTTTGGGACAGTTGTGTACTGAGGATTTTTTTATTATATAGGTTATGGGATTTTTTAGTAAAAATTGTTTCAGAACAAATATGTAAATGAAAAAAAATTAATCGATATACAATTTTTAAAAGTTTAACGGTACTCAACTTTTAGGAGGTGTCTGTGAATCACCTCATATGGGAAGCATGCAGCTGGGTGAACAGCGAAATTTGGTTCGTAAATCTTCAACGTCAGCACCACACTTTATATTTGTTGTTGAAGAACAAGAATGCATGGACAAATATCGTGACAGAATTACTAAACTGGCTAAGAAACTTCAAGAGAAATAGTACGACATTCAAGAAATTTTTAAGTTACAATATTTGCTATTTTTAATTACTAAACAATAAACGATTTTGTTCTATTTAGCAGTAATGCTCAATTCACTTGGATTGGTTATGGAGGTGAACATGCGTTAAATCCACCACACATTCACTATATGAACGGTTCGCCGATTTATTCAACAGGCAAAATTCAGGAAATTGCTAAGAAGCCATTTGAAAATCCGTCAGGTCTTCTGCCGCCAGAATACAGCTCTGTCAAAGCTGTGCTGTTTGCTGCGCAGTCTTTTAGTCCAATGTATGCATAGTTATAATTTAATCAATTCAAATCTTTTTCTCAACCACCTCGGGTTACTGAAAACGAGTACTGAACAAAAGAAAGCATTAGCCAGCTGAAAGAAATTTTAGTTTCTTTTTTTATTTCTTTATTATTTTTTTTGGAATTTTAATCTGAGTGAAGAATTGAATTGCAGAAAAAATAAAAGGATTTGATTTAAGTTTTCCGGTAACACTGAGTAAAGGTATTTCTAGAAATAGTTTTGTACACAAGCGATAGGCAAAATTGAAGCAAAGTATGCAACAAAGTATTCTTCTTATGCTGTTACAGAAATTCTTCAAACCAACAGATCTTCCTGATGGCCTGCAAGAAATGCAAAGACGAAATGAATCACCAAGAGTTCGCAGACCAGATTTCCTCGATGGTTAGTTATGCAAAAAAAAAAAAAAAAATTCAAACAGAAAAGATTTCTTAAGCAGCAAGTTTATTACTTATCAAAGAAAATACTTAATATTTTGAAGAAATAGGCAAAAATTTTGGTCTATACTTTTATGGCTGCAAAATATTTTCATCAATAAGATTTGAGGTCTTCAAAAAGACTTTTATAGGGATATAAATTAAACATTATGACTGCTTCAAAGATCAAGACTACCTCAACAACACGAATTGTTGGTATGCCAAAAAAACAGTAGTTTTATTACATAGCCAAACTTTTTATATATTAGTTATAGATTGCTTCTGATTAAATAAGATTTATTAATGTTGCAAAAGCCGAGTATCGTCAGATATATTTTTAGGAGCTGACGGACACAATCTGTACACAGAAACTGGAAGTCCTATAAAGAACGATAACCTTTATCAACCATTTGACATTTGCTCTGATGCTTCGCATATGACCGGTGGTGGTGTCTTTACGCTAGTAGGTTTTTGTTTATATAATGTAGTAACATTAGTAAAACCCAAAAAGTGAGCAGCCTTATACATGAGTATCAGCATACGCAAAGATTGTCAAATGATGATGTTATGAAAAAAGGTGGCTGTTGATCATTTAAATTAAGAAAGACAAATATAGGGAAAGTATATTACTACGCTATAAATAAATGTTGGCATGTTTCACCGTCGGTCGTTCTTTCGTGTGCTTGGGACAGTCGAAAGCCCAGTATCAATTCTAGACCGCTTGTTAATATTAAGAAGAATAAGTGGCAAACAAGAGCGGAGGGGGCGGAAAAAAAAGTGGGATAGTGTTTCGTTGATCAAAATGGGTTATTATTGTCCTCTGTTAGCGGTACTGCAATTTTTGCTATTTCAGAACAAAGGTTATGCCATAGCAGCTGGCAAAATAACGTTGCATCAATCTAGTAGCGATAATTTGGACTGCACATGCACCAGTGTTGAAGACGCTCCTGAACTGAAATGTCACCTAATTTCCTCAACGTAGTGGTCTTAGTGGGGAAAAGAAGAAGAAAAAAGAATGAAGGGATCCCTATTAACCAGTTATAAATGCAATTTTTAAAAGCTAAAGGGTGAAGAAGAGGAAGAAGAGGACGACAGGGAAATTATTATTATTTCCTTCAACGTGCTTGTAAAAAGTTTGTTCTCATTCCTTCTGGTGTTGTTTGAGTTAAAAAAGATGGTGCGAAAAAAAAAATAAAAAAAAAGAAAAAACTGAAAAAACTGATGAAGTTTTCAATTGCTGCTGGTTAATGAATAAAGAATTTAGTTAAACAAACGTTAGCACAAGGTTTAACGGTGATTTTTGCTTCACTTATTTCCACAAATTACATACACACTAGGCTCTAAAGCACATAAAAAGTATTTTGTTTTTTCTATTTATTCAAGCAAAAATTTATTCTTCTTGTATTAATTATTAAACTATTTAATATATAGTTGTAGACAATGTGTAGGTGGTAGAAATTATTTGGAAACTGAAATGGTATAGAGAGTCTTATATTAACAACTAAAACAACAAATTTTTCTGCGGTAAATTTGTCGGCAACGATATCCTGGTATCAGCAACTGCCAAAATTTGGCTGTTTTTCTGTGCAACATGTACACTGGTAAGTTGGCTAGGGCTGCAGGGTGCAAGGCTATACAAAAAATTCTGTAATTTCTTTACAATTGCTTCAACGAAAAGCAGTTTGCTTTTGGGCGAATTACACTGTTAAAGCACTTCGCATAACCCGCCGCCTACGCTATTTGTGGTTTTGGAAACATTTGTGGGGGAGGATGGAAATGAATGGGAGTGAGAGTAAAATTGGTCACCTAAATTTGTTGAAAACAGCCTTAACAAATTGTTTTTTTTTTACAGTGTAAATGATAATAAGGTCTTTCACAGCTGATCTTCATTTACAAGTTTATTCAAAAACAGAAAAGAAAATTTTGCTTTCTGTTATTTGCAGAATAAAATTGAAAAAATTACTTCAATTTAACAAAAAATTAGCTTGAAAAAATTCAAAGCGAAGTAGCGGTCCGCATATAATGATTCAAAGTTCAAAAATCATTGATTTGCTGTCACTGCAGCAGCATTACCTTGTTGCCAACGGAAGCAAAAAAAAGTTTTGCCTATATGGTACAACGACGAGATGATAAAATTCGAAAAAAAAAAAAGGCAAACGAGGGGGAAAAAATGGCTGTTTGATAAAGCAAATTTTAGCGCATTTGTCAGGACGGAAAAGATATTACTGCACTAAAAAAACATTCTCAGTGGTAACTGTTCTGTTACTGCAGAAAATTTCCCATTTTTTTTTCTTTTATTTGTCTCTTAGTTTTCTTCTGAGCTGATTATGCGTATAAAGTTGACTATAGGTGCCAGTAAATAAACAACAATTGCAAGCTTGTTGCTGCTGCTGCTGCATAAAACTCGTTGAAAAAGCAGGTGGGTGTTTGTTTTCTTCCATCTATTTTTGGCCTCATTAAGTTCCAAAAGCGTGAAGCCATTAGAACGCAC